GGAGTTGGTTCTGGATGCCTGGCAACGGAGGGCTAATAGATGTAAAGAACAGTTACACAGTTACAGGAGATAATTGCACACAGCTGGTGGTAATTAGGTTCCTCTCAAGACTATAAAAGGAATGAATTTCCACACACTCGTTGCAGGAATCAACGTATTTACTAGAGCTGGAGAAGCTATCGTGGCTAGCTTGGCAGGCTGGATTGCTGCCAAGGTTAGTCTGTGCTGGATTGCTGCCAAAGTCTAGTCTGTGCTGGATTGCTGCCAAGGCCTGGTCTGTGCTGGATTGCTGCCAAGTTCTAGTCTGTGTGTTAATAAATCCTTGAAGTATCTTTGTCTCGGCGTGCTTTGGTGTAGGAAGAGGGGGGTCAGAACAGTAAGCTAAGTAAAATTTAATGCTTCTTGAAGTGTGATGTAACATTTCTCCTTCACAGAATTGACATGTACGCGGAAGGGACGATGGACCTGATGGGCCTTATTTTGTACTACCCTTTTTCTTCACCCAAGGAAAAGGAGAAGCAACTTGCTGCGTTTATCGAAAAGGCCGAGACCAGGTACCTCCCAGTCTATGAAAAGGTGGGCCCATACTTAACATTTCTTCTAGCAGTTACCCTTTCATTTAGGGGCAAATGGCATTGGATTCAGGGCATTCAGGCATGCACAGAAGGCAGATTTTTAGACGTTTGTCTTTAAAATATCAGACTGTTTTTATCTTTCTCCCTTTGAAATCTAAGCCACGTTCACACAGTATCCTTGGTAGTTACGTATTTTCCTTAGATTTAGATTTAGCTGTTATTTGAAGCAGCCAAATAGATTGTTCAACCATGTATTTTGTGAACCCAGCCTAAATTACGACAGGATGAAGTTCTCTCCTGATGCCGTAACTGGACAAAACCCTCCAATCAGTGCTCGCTATGATCCTGTCCTTGTCACCACCCGAAACGGTTCGTGTAGCAACCTGTGATAAACTCCAAATATTTTGGTACGCACAACAATACACTTCAGGACTGGGAAGTTAGCCAAGAATGGCCAAATAGACTAGGATTAGTTGTTTGTTTTTACAAACACAGTGCTTGGAAATACTACGTTAACTGATGAAAAGTGGTTGGGGCTTTTACCATTCAGCTACCGTATTAAGTAATTTGAGAAATGGATTTAGCCACCAAGTAGTTGCCTAATTTACGGGACAGGCTTCTGAGCTTCTGACCTTACTTCTTTGAGTAAGGAAAATGTTCTAAGGTTTTACTTGTTAAATAAACTGACCTATAGTTTCTTGGATTCCTCCTTGAAGTGGAAGAGTATAAGAAACAGACAGTATATATAAAATAATGCTTGCTAATTTATTTATTTATTTATTTATTTATTTATTTATTTATTTATTTATNAGTACTGCACCCTAACCACTGCGCCACCTCGGCTCATTAATTCCTTTGTTCCTAGTTTAATGCAAAGAAGGACTAGCGGTGACATGTTAGCAGTGTTCCAATATCTAAAGGGCTGCCAGAAAGAAGAGGGGGCCAGCCTGTTCTCCAAAGCATCTGAAGGTAGAAGAATCAATGGATCAAAACTAATCAAGGAGAAAACCAGCCTAGAACTAAGGATGAATTTCCCGACAGTTAGAACAATTAATCAGTGGAATGACTTGCCTCCCAAAGTTGTGGATCCTCCATCATTGGAGGTTTTTAAGAAGAGATTGGACCACCAATTCTATTAAATGGTATAAGGTTTCCTACCTGAGCTGGGGGTTGGACTAGAAGACCTCAAAGGTCCCTTCCAACTTTGGTATTCTGGTATTCTCTAACTGCTATTATAAATTGCTTGTCTTTTAATTCCAAACGCAAAAGCAATTTTTCTTTTCTACAAATATTCGCTTGATTTTTTTAGAAAAATAATTTCAAAATTTTAATATTTAAAGTCCAAATATTTAAAGTATTTGAATCCTCAGAACATTCCGTAGCCAAAACCTAAGCTTTCCCTTGGCTGTTTATTTTAAGTGATTGAAAATTATAAAAGTAAACCTTCATATTCTCAAATTGAGGATTAAGACTATCCATTCTCTTATGTCATTCTGAAGATGATTAACCTTTTAAATCCATTAATGGGCAGTTTCCTAAAAGTAGTTAGCAAGGAAAGTGGACGAATCTAAGTATTCTTTAAAGTCTCCAGTTTGTAACTGGAGCAAAATAGTAAATTACCCTATATCCTGGTTTCCCCTCCCCACAAGCTTGCTGTCATGAGGTCTCCTTGTAAAGAAAAGGAATGGCCATAAGAGAAACAGCTTGGGTAATCTCACATCATTCTCTTTGATCCAGAGATCAAAGATTGCTGATCTGCTTTGGATTCCTTGTACAAAGTTGTTGTTGTCAGCTCTGCCTGTAAATTGTCTTCAGTCAGCCCTCTCTCCCCATAAGACCCCGTTCTGCAGTTTCAAAAGGCTGGGAACCCACAACTTGTGCAAAAAAATTTGTGCTAACCATCTTTCCCCTCTTTTATCTAATAGCCATACAGTAATTCACTGTTTTTGTGTTACTCCATGGGAACCGAGGAGAATAAGGGAAGCAAATATGTATGCAGGCCAATAGTGCTATCTTCAGTTTCCAAGTTAAGTGGGTCATAGTGCCCATCATTCCAAGCCAACACCTTTTGAAGGAATTGGGTACTTAGCAATAGCAATAGCAGATAGACTTATATACCGCTTCACAGCTGAAAGCCCTCTCTAAGCGGTTTACAGAGTCAGCATATTGTCCCCAACAATCCGGTTCCTCATTTTACCCACCTCGGAAGGANATCTATCTATCTATCTATCTATCTATCTATCTATCTATCTATCTATCTATCTATCTATCTATCTATCTGAATTATACAGGGTATCATGAGTTAAAACAGGATTTTGAATTGCATGTGGAAATCTAATGATACCAAATCACAGGTATAATCAGCTCTTGGTGAATAATGTTGGCCAATAATTGGACTATGGCCTTTTGTACAAATTACAGTTGATGTGTGTTTTTTCAGAGCAGCCTCACCTGCAATGAATTGCAATATTCTAGTTGGAAAATAATGAGCTGCGACTGCAAATTTGTTGAGATTCAGGGTGGGGCTATAACTGACGTACCAGCCAATGAATCCAAGACAAGTGTTAAATCCCGCCTCATGTTTCATGGACACCTCCCCTTCCCTCCCTCCCGCCCTCCCTCTCCATAAAAAGATGCATTTTAAAAAACTAGTAGGTTAAATGCAAAGTTTAACATTATGTGTAATTTGGCTTTCCACCTAAAGCCATTTGTACAGCATTATTTTTTTAAAATGTCACATTTGACTTCTTGCATAATTTGGCTGTCTCCTATCCATGGTTGGAGCCAATGACTTGAAAAAAAAAACCTCTTTGCAGGAAAAGGCCTTTACCTTTGACCCCTCACAGAGGAGCTCAGCTTTTCAAAAGAGAGCATCTGAGCCAATTAGCTTCCATGGTGAAAGAGCAATTTACTATTCTGGACTGCAATCCAGTGGCCCAACTGACTTAAGAAAAGAAAGATAAAAATCAATTTCAGATCATCTGTAATTTTATCTGCAATACAGCCCTTCTATCCTTCCTTGCAGAATATAGTGCATTTCCCCCTCTTTCTTTGGTACGAACAAGTTCCATAATCACATTCAAGCCTTGTTCTGAAGTCCTCGTTTTAGTCTGATTGCCAATATCAATATTGGCTTTGCTTGTCTCGTCCTGCCCCCGTCAATCCTGCTGACAATCCATGACTCAGGTTTTTTGTGTCGAAATGGAACCAAAGGTAAAGATACCAGCTCTGCACACAGCCAGAAAAGTAACTGAGTCAAAGTGGAACTAGAACGGTCTGGTTTTGCAGCTTTTCTACTAAGAAATGAAATAATTGCTGAAGGAGACAGAATTCACAGTTAGCAATAGCAGTTAGACTTATATACCACTTCATAGGGCTTTCAGCCCTCTCTAAGCGGTTTACAGAGTCAGCATATTGCCCCCAACAACA